TTACTTTCTAATTTTTCATATATGATCAAAATATTATAAATGATATATCAAATTGATTATGATTTTGCGCTAAAGTTAATTATACAAAAGTGAGACAAAAATTCTTAGATGATAATAAGAAAATTTGTAATACCACGAAGATAGTAGCTCAAGCGTTTGAATTTTTTCAGATCAACTCGATAATACCGGGGCACGAAACTTTCCGGGCAACACTCCAATGAAAAAAAGGAAAATAATCCGCTATAAAAAAAGAAAAATGATGCAACGTCGCCGTCATCGGATAGATTATTACGAAACGTAAGAATACAAAGTACAAATTTAGAAAAAAAAAAACAAAAAAAAGAAAAGAAATAGGAAAAAAAGAAGCGTAATGAAACGTTTCACGGTAGCTTAGAGAGTGTGTAACCAAGCGGCATGGATTAGCAGCTTAATCTATCCTTCCCATCGACACGAGTCCTTATCTATCTCTCTCTCTCTCTCTCTCTCTCTCTCTCTCTCTCTCTCTCTCTCTCTCTTTCTTTATTTCATTCTCTCTTTAGCAAAAGTTAAGGAAGGTAACGAGATACCTAGCAAGCATATTCCCGTAGACGGGACCGGATAGATACACGCAAAGCGAATCCTGGTAAAAGAGAGGCATAAGGAAAAGAGAAAATGCTTGTTGGATGCAAGTACTATATACGAAAGTTCTTCCTGAACGTTGCCGTTGATGGTAGGTGCTTATTACAAGGCGGTGTAATGGGCTTCCGCGAGTGCGAGTTTCGCGGATCGCAAGTCGTTTTCCGACTTCAGCGATAACGACGAGTAGTACACTAGGTGCATAATACTTTGCGAATGAAAGAGAAAGAGAAATCAGAAGGATAAAAGGAACAAAAGGAAACAGTGATGGTTGTGGTGGTGGTGATGGTGGTGGTGGCAACAACTTGCCCGAGACCGTTCTCTTCGCGGCAAATTAAAGTCCTGTATAATGAGTAGCCGAAGGTGCGATCATTCAATTAATAATATCCGAACGAACCAGCAGGAAACTTCTTGGACATCCCCTATTTGTCGGCATACTTTGACTAACATAAGCTCCTATATATGCTTTTCAATACTACCCACCTAACGAACATGACTCTACAATACTTTTTGTTATTATCAACGCTATCGAAAATATTTTCTATTTCCATCTAACTAACTTGTACGATAATAATGATTGTACTCATCTTGATCGGTTGTGTTAATCGAAAATCTATATAGTTATAATTGATAGAAATTATTTTTATAAATAATTATGATTCAGGTTGATTAATTATTGGTCAGAGTTTTAGACAAAATTATAGGGATGATAATATAAACAGTTAGCACCTGTTCAATTCTGTCAATGCGATCGGTAAAGCTTTTATCGAAAAAAAATTCATGTTAAAATTTAAATAGAAGACTACTAGTTAATATTATACATTTACTATGTTTATAGGCAACGAGGTAACCAAAGGATGGACTTCAAAGTGAAAGGCGATGAAACTGACTTCCAATTAAAATTGTATCTCCTTTAAGAACTGACTGGCTGCCGCTACACACATGAATGCGTCTCTTCGCGACTCTTTCCCTTTGCTCTGGTTTCAGGTCTTCGATATAATATACCTGTATACAAGTACATAGGTACCCATATATAGATATATAGGTATACAGGTATATAGGTAAACATATCAGCAATAAGATCAAATAAATTTTCTATCAGGATATTAAAAGACCAATTGAACGAGAACAAACTTTGAAAAGGTATGTTAAGATGAAACCCCCTAATGGTCAATTATAAAAGGAAACAAGAAAAAAAAAGAATGAAGGAATTAAAATTGTTCAATATATAATCAGGAATATAAAACATCGATTGAGGGGGGGGGGAATGTTGTAACAGGTATATATAACTGCTAGTATAAATTAGGCTTGAGAATAAGATTCTCGCGATCCGTGAAAATAAGCGAATAAACGGCGTAACCGTAGGGCTTCCCCATAATGAGTGTCCTGTAAAAACGTACAAAGTTCACGCGAATAAAACGGCAACTGTCACGGTCCATAACGTTTTATCGCCGTGCCGCGGTGAAACATCTTCAAAGAATATAGCTGTAATAACGATTGAAATTGATTTTCTCTTTGGGATTATTGCAACCGAACAAGAAAGCAAAGCAAAACAAAGCAAAGCAAAGCAAGCAAGCAAGTTGGTATTACATACAAGAAAAAATAAAAGAAGAGGAGCGTACAAGAGTAAGTAATTCTTTCGGTTGATCTTATAGAATGGAAATCACGTAAACGCAGAAAACGAATAGTCCCGCAGTAAGACCGGAAATAAGCAACGCACACATATGTATATACCCGTGTACCTTCCGCAACTATCGCAGCCGCGGCCACCGCGTTTATTCGCGGATACGATGACAACCCGCGGAGAGTTTATCTTATCTCGATCTAAGATCAGAAGGTAACGCGTGCCTCCAGTCTTTCCAAGTCGGAAATACCTACACTTATCCCCATAAGTGCGACGCTCTAACACGCACGAAACACAACGCTTAACCATCGAGCTACATTAGAAATTGGTTCCTGTGTTTCTTATTACGTAATTTCATATCGAGAAACTCTTGGATTGTAATATTCATTAAACAAAATATATCTTCGATTTCGAACTGATTGTGAGACCAATCGTAAAAATACTTCGTGATAATATTAGATTTGAAAATATTCAGATTACAATTGTTACATTTCAAACAGGTAAAATAACTTTAGTCAGTTTTCCAAATTGTTTCAACGTCGGAATTATTTGGGTGCAACCCCTTTTAAACGTATATTTAGTTAACATTTAAACAAGTCAACGAATGCATTGTACGAACTTTGGTCGTGGTAAATTTGAAATGACAACCTCTAACTCGGAACACCATAATATTCTTCTTGAGATTTCGTTTGCGAGTATAAGTTCTCTTATGGTTAACCATCGCCGCCGCCGCCGTGTGAAACAACGGGCATCGCTAACTTGTTCTCTCGCGAGAAGAGTTTCCTAAGGCACACGAGTGCACTCAGCTGACCCTATTAGGTGGCCATTAAATCGACACGGTCTCTCCTCTCCTCTCCTTTCCTCTCCTCTCTTCACTTCTCTTTCTCGTGTGTGCCATTGGGACAAATGCCAAGCGTTTCCTGGAACATCTGCGTGAAAAGGATTTCTCTTCGAGGTCGAGATTATCCTAAGAACGGTCCCACGGAACAGGAGGAACGTGGTAGAATCTTGAAAAATCTCTCATGCGGATAGAAATTCCTTCCGTTCGGTATTCGCCTTCTTCGAGGCCTCCTTCAAATTACAGCCTTGGCAACCGTGTCTCTTTCTTTCTTTTTCAATATAATCTACATCTTTTACACATACGACTTATCTTGCTTTGAGAAATTTTTGCAGAAATTTATTTTTAAATTAAATTTAAGTTAATGAACCTTTCATTTCTTATCGAACAAACAATTTTCATTTGTTATATTCAATTGATTAATCTGAACACACGTTACACACTGAATATTTATTTTTGTTAAAAGTTAACACAGATGTTATATTAGAAATTTAATTAATTGCGAAAGTAAACTTTTGTCTACACCAACTTTACATTTTTGTAATTTTGAATGAAAAATGAACCACGCGATATACAAAGTTAGCAATTTAGTGTTCTTCGAACGAAAAAGGGGAGATCGATGGATAACGAAGTAGAAATTCGTACATATGCCAAGAAGGAGACATTGATATACCGGACCTGACAATCTTCGATCATTGTCAATCAGTTTGAAGGAAGTACCGTTATGGTATCTTATGACGCACGGATTTTCGGAAAGGTTTCATACTACCCGAATACGCCTACTGTCATTCTTTTTCTGATTTTTCAATATTATTGTCAGATTTTCTACTTCTATCTAAGAAAAGTAAGTCTAGGATGTTCTTAACAAAAAGAAAAAAATAGAACAGTCGAAAAGAAAGTCCGGATGTTTCTTGTCTATTGATTTTTTTACGTATCCTAATAACAGAATCCTTGGTACATAATTAAACAGGTGTAACTCGCAAAAGTAGGTCTCTTCTCTTTTTTATCATCCGATGTTCTAATAATAGATTAGGATTCTATTTTCATGCAAATGGTGTGAACGAAGAAAATGGTTGTTTCCATAGTTGATACCGTAACCTTACCGGTTTCCCAAACTAGGACGCTAATGCGGATGTTTAGTTTTGACAAATAGAGTTTATAAGTTTGCTGTACTCAAAAGTGGAAGATACTTCCGCTACCATGACACGTTTTCATTTCATCAAATATATGCATGATTTTCATAAATAATTTGAATAAAGAATAAACAATTTTTGTTCAGACAATTTTACAGATCATTTTCACGTTACTCGTTATTCAAATAAATTCATCATACATTGGTGGTGCTCCTTCGATTTTGCCTGTAAGGGTGTTATAAAAGGACGCGAGAATAGCACGTGGCTTCTCAAGGGTTAATTTGGTTTATCGGAGTGCACCCCGTACGTAGGACCAAGTTCGTACATTTACAAAAGCGTCGGACCAACCTAACGATATCTCGACTTCGCCAAAGTAATAGAAGCCGCTAGCGTTAATTAAGATTCTCTTCTCACACTCTTACGAAAAGGGTCAAACGAAAAGGGAGCGTCACTGTTCAATTTTAGACGCAAACGACGAATGCTTTTACAGGGGATGGTTATTAATTCAATGACTAACGATCATTTAACACCTTAACTATCAAATCTCTTCAAATGATTAAATAATGCACATTTTCTTATTTGTTATTTTTCTCTTCAAATATTGTTTATAAAATTTAATATTAATTTAATAAATAATTAATGATAATATAATTCGTCAATGTGCAACAACGTCGTCTGCAATTAATATTTATCCGAGAGATTTGTATTATTATATTTAATGATTATAAAAAAATAATTTAAAAAGAACGACAATGATAAAATGATATTTGGATGATAAAAATAAACTTACCGTTTCTGAGGCAACGTTTTTCACCTTTGAGAGTAGATATGCGGCGGGTGAAAGATAAGATTTTACAAAGTTCTCCAGGTTTCCGTAATAAGCGCATACTAGGATGTCTCGCGCCTGTCTTATCAACAAATTGATAACACCATCGCCATAAATTGGTCCAAGTAGATTCCGTACTAAGGAGGCGACATCACCACGAGCCTGGAAACAGAGAACCCCGTTCATTCTTCCTACGCTATCACGAAACGCAAATTAATTAAACGCGATATCTAATGTGAAACATACATCATCAACGTTGAAAGACAACACACTGGAAATGTTTTATTATATTCTCTTTCTTTACACACTCATAATATATTTTCTCAATTTTCTTTTATAATCCTCATTAACGTCACGTTTATTATCTAAACGCAACTTCAATGACCTCGTTAAATCACAGTACTAACAAATAGAATACTTTTCTTTTATGATAATTTATATAAAAATAACTTTAAAAGAAAATTATTTAAAAAATTTCACACACACAAGTATATTTCTAATTAATTGAATATGATATAAAGTGTTAATAATATATGTCGAACGTATATCTCGTTACTGTACAGAGTTCTATTATCTTCTTCTTCTTCTTTTTTTTTAATTTATAATAATAATCTGCATCAACGTTCATTGGCTATTTAAATTTAACTACGGTGACCTCGTCACTGAACTCGTGCGAATAAAACATATACGGTAAGTTGATCATTTTTAAATATTGTTATTAACAATATATAGAAACTTTTAATAATCTCGTTAAACTATAAAAAATAAATTGAATGTTTATAAAAAAATGTATTAAAAAAATATTACGAAAGTATTTTCATTTTGTTTTATTGGATTGGTTTAATACGAAATCAAAGAAGACGAATAACGAAGAGACAAGTGCCATGATGGTCGAAATGTGGGTGCATTGTATTCTCTGCGGCATCGTTGCAACGATGTGCATAAACATTACAGTTTACTGGGGCACTCACGAGGAAGAGGAATACCACGATGTAACCATTATACGTTCACCGAGCCGACGTCCGCCCACGTACGTGTTTCCGCCCTCATCGTGCTTGTTGATACACGTACTTATATGTATATACGTTTATGTGTTTGCATAGACACGTACTTACTTTCATAGTTATACCATACCAACTAACAACTCGTGAAAATACTTCTAACTTTTCGGTCACGCACTTATCTTCCAACTAAGTTCCTTGAACCCAAAATTCTGGCTACCCAAATATACACAGCCAACTTCTAACAAGTTATAAATATTTTTACTAACATTATAACCGAGATCTAAACAAATATTTCTATAAGAAAAATATAATACATATAAAAATATAAAAATTATATATTTGTTCTCAAACACGGATATTTAATATTTTTTATACGCGAAGTAGAGATTAACTTCCTTTCATCAATATTTCATTTAAATTGGAAACTTTATATATACTCGTGTGAGTTTAAAAAATATTGAAACGGGATTGTATATTTATATAAAGGTGTGTATTGCAAACCCCATTGAGAATCCCACGATGCATCGGTCATAAAATTGCAACTCTCGCTGTCGTCGGTAACAATATTTGGTTAGCTAGAATTTATGAGGAAAAGGGTGAGATGAAGGAACGAACATAAAAGGCTCATCGAGGGTCGCCCGCATCCCCGTAGAATATTTCAAGGGGGATGAACGTGGGGCTCGTGTTGTAGACTACGAAACATAAATTAACTGCGATTCACGTGCCACTGGTTTTAATCGTCTACCTTATGGGAGACTGTGTTGCTTATTAATGTATTTACTCGCATGAATGATCATAGTCTGATTTACCATCACGTATTTATGACTTGTGGTTTGCTAATATAACATGATTTATTATTTCTATTTTATTCCCCCCTCTATGTGTATTTTATTATATTTTTTTTCTTATAATTATTAGCTTTATTATACTATTAATTTTTTATTAAAAATTTTGGTAATTTACAAGGGTGAAAGTAAACGAAATCCAAAAAAAAAGGTATTGTGTTCACCCCTTTAAATCTTGAATACGTACTTGATCTAACATTCCAGCAACCCTACGAAATTGAAATAAAACGAGTTCCGGTAGAGAGCACCCCTTGATTAACTTCTTTGTTTTGTCATTCGCATTGTTTAATCTCATCCCTCTTCTTTTCCTAACGCCTTTTCATAACCCGCGTTGATTTACATTACTAACGAGAATTTTACTACAGCTGAACGAATTTACCCTTCTCGAATTATGCAGAACCTGATGCTTCCGTGTGTTTAATGATTTTTACGAGATTACGAGAAATATAAGTTTTTAAGCAAATGAAACTTCTGTAAGTTTAATTTATAAACGATTATTACACGTAAAAGAAATTATTTAATATTGTTTATAACATTTATCAAATTGAACACACGTATCTCTAAATAAAATATTAAACAAATATGCAAAATATAAATAATATTGGTACTTATATAAAAACTCTAAAAAATAAAATCGTGGAATGAAATTTGAGAAAGTAACAAATGATCGTCTTCCTTCCTATCGCAGTATTTACCGATCTTCCTGCTCGATATCGATTTAAAACACTCAGCACCCCATCTGGCTACGCTTCTCGAATTTCAAACCAACCTCGACGTTCGTCTGATTTGCATCACGGACACATTTATTCAGCTAGGAACTTCGATTATTCACCCCCCGATGGTATCCAATGGTTACCGTGAGTACCTTCCTTTCCGCAAGGGATGCCACGATGCAAATATTTCCAATTCTCATCGATCAATCGAAAAACAAACTGAAGTTCCAGTTCGAGTATTCGTCAAATCGATAATTAAAAGTTTATTTTTTTATATACTATAGATCTAAATTGTTGTTCGGAAAATCAAACTTGTTAGAATGTTATTACTCGAAACAATACGAAACAACAAAATTTACCGAATACTTCCTTTTTTTTTCTGATTGTAAAAAAAAGCATATGAAACAAAATGAATCGCAACATATCCTGTTGATCGAGACAGACATTCTATTGAAACAGGATTCAATTGGAAGATTCTTGGAACCTTCGATAGATATCAAACGATTTCTACCTTCCTTTTCACGCATTCTGAACACCCTCCCCATGTTGATACAACACAACACGGGAAAGGAATAAAAAAATAAATAAAGAAAATGTTAGATATGTTCTCGACTCGACGAATAAAACGAACGATATCTTTGTATGCAAAACATTCGACGAACATTTGACCGATACATTTCTTTTTGTTTATTTCTCTTTGCAATCTTCGAATCTTTCCAACTCGTATTGCAATTACGTAGAATTGTCTGACAACAAAATGTTTTCGTAACAAATTCAACTTAATAATCTTATACTTCGAACAAAAAAGAAAAACAATTCTAATTAACTTAACTCACACCAATTAAAAAATCGCACATCGCAATTATTCCCACGCAGAGAGAGAAAATTGAATTATTGATTATTAAAAAAAGAAATAAAAAAAAAACAAGAAAGCGAATAACGCACGTTACACGAGTATCGTTAATTAAATCGAGTGGAAAATAAAAAAGAAAAAAAAACGAAAAGGGTCAAAGAAATCTATCGGAAGTTAAACGAGCTGATTACACAATATACCAGAAGCACCGGTGTTATCAATCAATGCTCGGGCACTTAGCAATCGCGAGAAAATACCACGCTTCGAGAGAGTTTAACATAAACGAGTAAAGGATAGGACCGATGAGTATTAGGGTTGTTGAAGGGTGTAGTAGACGAAGAAGAAAAGAAAAAAAAAGAAGAAGGAGGAAGAGGAGATGAAAGAGAAGAAAAAGGAGGAGGAGGTGGAGGAGGAGGAGTACCAAATGGGAACGTGCATTAATCAAGTTCTGTACGCGGAAAGCTGAGGTTAACGGATCAAGTGTCTCGCTTATGTTAGTCTTTCGATAAAATTGCAAATAGCTTATCCTCTTCGAATATACCCGTTAACGACTTGCCTATCTCTTTTTACATATCTCCATATTTATTCATTTCCAAGTTTGAATTTACGCTGAGTGACACTGCGTCGACGTAAATGCATCTATAACTTTATCGTTTATTTAAATTATCACTTATACGCTTGATGATCATCAATTACTTTGCGTGGTACAGCTATTTATCCTAATATTGAATTATCTTACACAATTTTATTTCAATTCTAATTTGAATGTAATCAATTATTTTGTAGTACAGTAATCCATCCGATTTAGGGTTGACAATCTTTTTCTAAATGTTTTTCCTAAAAGGATAGGTTTTATTTTTATCTATTATTTCATGATATATACAAAATGTGATTCCTTTACAATGTACGTGGATTTTAATTATCGAATAAGTTGACTCCACTCTTTTTTGATAGGGGTAATAGGATAAAGTATATGCTTACGTTTAAAGATGTGTGTATATAAGTAAACACATAAGTAGGTATACGGATCGTTCGACATACGGACAATGCACTCGATCGAGGTACGTAAAAGGCGGCGCCATTCGATTCGCGGTGCAACTCGAATGCAATTGCAATCGTGTAGCGACGTCTCAATCCAGCCGCGGTGCATTCCAAGGATTTGTTTCCACTCAGATTACAACTACAGATATCGCCGTCGCGAGCGACCTATATTTCATGCCAGAAACGACCACCATCCGATGCATTTAATTCCCCAAGTTTCGTAATACTTTCCTAGAGTCCGCGAAAATCACGATTTCTTATTTTTCACATTTCAAATATTGTAAAATATATATATCTGTGTATAATTTTAATAACATATTATAATAGAAAATATATAATTATGATATTGAACGCGAAATTCTAAATTTAAAAATATATTGGAAATGTATTTAACGATTAACTTTTGTCATATAAATAAATGATAAATAAATTTTGGATATTTGTCATAATTAAAGACAAACAACACACGGGTTTACGTGTGTAGGTGTATATAGTTATCGAAATAAACTTATGTTACTTTCCATGTTAAAAGTAACTACTAACACATATATATATAGAGAAGTTAGAGATATAACGAAGAACGCAAGAACGTTGCGTGTATCTGATCGTGGATCATCAACAACAGCAGCGCGTGGCCTATGACTTCGGCTAGTTACGACGGTGAAAGTCAAAGAAGAAAGTCTTAATACGTGACCTTTTTTATTAT